TCATTGTGCCCATGTGGGGATTCGAAACCGGGTCATCGGCGTGACGAGAGGACGCTTTATCCACCGCCCCTTTTTTCTAGAAGAATGTATGAATTTACACAAATTCAATAATTTCACTTTTGGTAGACTAATTATCCTAATTCATTTTGTGGAATGAAATCTTCAATGCTGGCAATATTGTTCCCAGGTTGCAACGTGTATGGTAATGGATTTGCAAGATACGGTGGCCTTAGTATCACAGGACACAACAATAAAGAGACACATGCTGTCCTGAGGACTGAATGTGATGAATTGTGCACTGGCGAAAGATTGTACAATTGTATTACAACTGAGTTCAACATATATTCACCCGTCAGTGTCTACTTTCGCAATACGGCTACCTAGATGTACCACCATCCGACAGAACATATTCTGTTTGGGGATGGGAACTTTCAGTAAGACACTGTGAATAAACCCTGAACGTGGACACAGGAAATTGCCTCAATGGGGATCACTTTCTTCCCTCCACTATCAACGAGGTTAAAGAGTGCTCTTTATTGACTGATGTGTGGACTGGACAACGTGCTAGCACCAGAATACATGTGCAAAATAATACATATGCTGTTATTCTGAATAAAAGGCTGTTTTATAGTATCACAACATTCCATTGTCAACGTTGATCATGAAGTGACGTTTGCCACGACCTTCAATTTCACCAGCATAGGATACATTGTGTAAATGTATTATTTCACAACAATGTCCATTTTCAACGTTTTAAAACAAGGCAATGTGATCTCTGAATAGTCGTGCATTAATATCAATACAACCACTCCTATTATTTTGTACACTTTTCAACACATAGTAGTCAAAAAGGAAAGGGAACGCTTTCTATGTTTTGTACCCGACACCGAAAAGAAATGCAACTAAAACAAAAAAAAAGAAAAAAACACTCAAAGGAAAAATCTGTCAGTACGTTTACTAACAGATTACATTTTGAGTCAGCGAGTTAGTCACATCAGCAGTATTTCAGCCATAAAGTTAACGTGTTATAGATTCCTAATGCATAAAGTCAATAATTATAACCTGTCAACGAAGTACAGTAAAACAACTGAAACATCACAGACAGAAATGTAATAGATAAGCATGTGTATATATGCAATGGCTAATTTCGCATCGTCTTACAATAACCTCTTCAAATATGGGCTGGCAACCCAAGTAGGTGTAACCAATATGGAGTTTTATAGCATGTAATTTATTAATACCTACTTGAGTGTACAACTTGTTTCTGCATTAATAAGTGAGTGAGTTAAAATTTATAACCACATGAGCACTATTTCAGCAATATCGTGACTGGGAGGGTTTAATGTATATATCAATATATAATTAGACAATATAAATATTTGTCAACAAAGGACAGTAAAATAACCAGAATTATCAGATTAAGTCGTAAAACTAGCATGTTACAAGAAAGAATAATTATACACGCCACAATACAAAATGAAAATGGGCTATAGATCACCAACAACTGAAAGTAGATCGCCATACTAGGACCATCTGGAATTTTTTGCTACGTGCATGGACTCAAGCTGGATTTACACCATCCTTTTACCCTTTTCATGGATTGAATGAATACATATTCTACGATTAAAAGCCTGGTACGAATAAGTACACTCTGAATGAGATAATGTTACGTTCCTCTCAGAAGGGGTAATCATTTTACAGTACTTCAACCCCTCTTGAGGGTACAGCCACAGTTATCAAATGTATTCGACCAGACATGATAATTATTATATGGAAAACATATTGATAAATCTTTTAAAAATCCTGTAACTAAACGGGAATCTACGCTAAAAAAGATTTTTCCTTTTGTAACTTTGAAATAGTGATCCCTTGTGATGGAAAACTCGACCCAATCAAGCAGGGCACACTTGACTGTAACTATTTCGTCAGAAGGGATACAGAGTCATTATATAATTCAATAATTCAATTAAAAGTGAATGCTTACAAGACAGATTTTCAATAGCCTGAAGGCACGAAAGCGAGTCTGAAAATATCATTTGGGGTGTTTGTTGATATTGTGGCGTAGAGATATTTATCATATTTCAAACATATGTCTAAGTTAGATAGTTTAGTAGTCTAAGGGAGACAACTCTTTATTTATCGTCACTTATATTCCTATTACCTCCCTTGTGTGAGGGAGTTTTTGGAGGGCTTGAATAAAATGGCGTCTAAAGAAGATCTTCTGGTATGTTCTTTCCTGTGATTGTGACACTGATAACCCTTTTCGGGGTTAGTGGCAGCCACGCCACAATATATTTAAGGGCTGTTAGTATGGCGGTTTGCTTCTTCTTTGAAAATGGGTCATCGAGAAAAATTATTGTTCTGGATCCGAAATCTTTGAATCTGCGCCACCATCCTTGGATCCATCTGTAAATAAGGATTTGTATGTATTATATGTACTTTTCAATTCATTAAATTCCTGTCTATAATGCAATTCATTAGTTGTTCTTATATTTTTGAACGTTGTCAGTGCATGGTCTACTTAGGGCCTCACTAGTTGCCAATGAGGTAAAGAACGCATGCGGGAGGTGATATATTATCAAGCACCAGCAGCAGAAAGGTTTTTTCTTATTCCTTGGGGGCGGAACAAGAGAAGACATTTTGTTGTACAGGTGAGGTGAGGTGAAATTGGGTTTTACGTTGTGCTTGAGAATATTTCGCTCATATGACGACGTGCATGCGTTTGTATGTGCGGCTGCTTGTACTAGCCCAGACTGAAGCTGGTTTTATAGTGCTAGCCCACTGAGATACCATGCCGCAGTGAAGCATTAATACCCCACTCAGACACATTATACTGACTCCGAGCCGACCAGTCCTTGTTGTACCCATTAATGCCGAGCGCCAGGCAGGGACCAACAAGTACCATATTTTAACGTCTTTTGGTATGACGCGGTCGGGGATCGAACCCGCGACCTTCCGCTCTCCGCGCGGATGCTCTAACCACTACACCACGGAGGCGGTTTTGTTGTACAGATGCTCATAGAGGGGATTAAAGACACATTTATACTCAGGGTCGGAGTGATTAGTTTAGTGATATACTGCAAGTTTATACGGAGTTGGTTCCTGGTTCACCTGCCTCGACACAGCGACTATCAACAGGAGAAGTTCTAAAAGATCCAAGACAAAGACCTGTGTGATGGATACAATCTAATAGTTTAAGGTTGCTGTTACAGGCTCTACCATATACGACGGCGCCGTAATCTAGTTCCGATCAGATGAGTGATCTGCATAAGTCATGTGCCTTCAGGCATTTAGCTTTCATGGAAATTTTATTTAATATGCGGTAAGAAGGTTAAGTGAGAGTAAAATATAAAACCCAGGAACTTGGCCTCCTCTACTATTTTGATGAAGTTACCATTTGAAATAGTTTTGGGTCTGTGAGGGGTATATATTAAAACATATGGTGAATTTAATTGAGGCAGAGCTGTAACTCTCTCTATAGTATGTATATTTTTACCACGACATGAAACATTAATATCATCTACGGAATTTGTTAAAACCTTTGAAAGGCTGTTTATTTTAATATCGAGTGACAGAGAAAATTTGTCTTTTGGAACACCATGATCCTGACTGGATTGATCATAAAGGGTGGACCCCACTCTTTACTTGAAATTGTGTCTCTGTTGAAAATGTGTGTCTGTTAAAATATGTTATGAATTAGGTAACCGGCCTCTCAAACCCAAATCGTTTCGTTTGCTTTTTCAAGATCAAAGACAATTGAGACTACACATTGTTTAGATTTAACAAAGGATTCCAATCGTACTATATGATCAATAGTACTTCGATGTTTTCAAAACCACATTGTATAATTAAGATATTGGTTTCCAGATATCAAATTAATCTATCATAAACCATTCCATGGTTTTACAAACACAAGGATACACATCTGTGATGTGAAGGATCGGTATTCGTATCCCGGCCAAGCTTTGGAATAGGGACAAGAATGGCATTACGCCACGGATGAGGGAAATTCTCTGAAGTCCAATTTTGATCAAAAGTATTTCGAGACAAAAATCAGGCAAATGCTTTAAGAGCTGATAGGAATATTATCAACCCCTGTTACGGTAGAGTGAGCTTGCTCAAATACACAATGCCATTTTAAAAAGTGACCAAATCATTAAACGCGTTTCCTTGACCATGCGGATTAATTCTACATGAAAGGGTTAGCTCAGTGTACTAATGGTTCGCTCTGTCACATGATGGAAATTAACTATAGGGGACCACTTGCTGGTAGAACAGCTAGGTAATCAACAAGAGTGTGCAGAGAAATTTCAATTTCCCCACGTACAACTCGCACACCTCGATGCTCTACCATTCTACCAGCAAGTTCACCAGTTCAACCTTCGCTCCTTTTGTTCAGGTTTCATGATCGGTGATGGAATTCCTCTACTTTTTTGCCAACCCATTGCATGCAGCTCAGTTCTAATTGTCTCCTTACAGACAGACACAGTTCCTCTATCAATCATTTCCAGCCTTACGTTTTCTAAACTCCTTCGTTTGTTTTTAGAAACGAGAATACCAAGCCGCCTGCTGTCACCGACAATCAATTTTCTGGGCCTACCTGCGCCTCCCTGGTGCTCAATGCCATATCCATTTGCAATATTTTTCAAAACACGATAAACAGTGGACAAAGGGATGCCTGTTCTACTTGAAATCACTTTAGCTGATCTAATGTCCTTGTTATAATACTCTAAAATCAACTTCCTGTTCTCTAAATCATCCATACTGAGGATCACTGAAAACGTCGTCTGCTGGCAAGTAAACAAAGGGGGATAACTCTTCACAAACTAATGAAAAAGGATTAACGGAGTTGTGTTGATAGCTGGTCAAGGTTGTTTATACTAGAAATCCAATTAAACATATTCCTAAAATTCTCAATAATTTTTGGTCATATCATAAAATGTACGCATGTAATCGATAGTCAGCAGCAACAGGTGGTTTCATCACATGTATTGTCATACTGACATAAGCAAACTATGCAGACCCATGATCGCTGGCTGACACCTCAACGTTCCTGTTTTCCCGTGCTGACGTAGCTAGGTAGTGTGACATTCCTTCATATCGGTAAGTAATAATGCCCTGCTAACTTATCTGTGTGGACTGTGGAACCGTTCGAAGCAGTTTAATCCACCATGCAGCATATATACACACAGATGTATACACACCACAGGCGTACATCCCAGTTTTATAACAAATCAATACAGCTCGCCGTGTGTGCAGGTGAACACTCAGCTGACACACATACACTGTGTTTAGTTTCTACGTCACTTTTAGCAATACTCCAGCAACATCACGGCGGGGGATACCAGAAATGGGCTGCACACATTGTACCCATGAGAGGAATCAACACGGGTCATCGGAGTGACGAATGAACGCTTTAACCACTCGGCTACCCCGCCGCTCCCAGCACAAATACACATTTGAGTTGGTAGGCAGCAGTCATCTGTGGGATTGGTATTCGAGAAATAACACAGCTGCTTTTACAGACATACACCCGGAGTTAAAATCCGCCGCTGTTCACGCCTTTTACGGTCAGGATTGCCATGCAGAACCTCTGTAATAATCGTTGAAATGTACGATAAATGAATTTGCCTGTTTTTCCTGTCCAGATTAGAATTCTTAGGCTGGAGAGGGCTTATTTAAGTTGGATAACTTGTGCCCAATCCGTTTGTTAATTGAATAAAATATGTTTCAATCCATCAATTCTTAGGTGGGGAACATTATTGTCTAAACGAGGACCCAATATTACAAGTTTTGCATCAATGAACAGAATACAAGATTTGCAAGATTTATAGATGCCTCAGGCTCTGTGCAGTGGTGTTGGAGAGAAGGGAGGCTACTCCTGTTCCCGTTGTCGAGCTGCATGTTTGTCCTATTGAGAACAGGAATCTAAACTGGCAGAGGTGGAGGCACGTTGATATTTCTGTCTCTCAGATTCCCAAGGAAAGTGGTCTAACTTTGAGCGCTAGTAGTCTATACTACTCTTGATTCATACTAAATAAGAGTCTGAGAAAGTACTATTGTTAATACAAATTGGCTTGTTTCATACTTACACTGTGATATTGAACATTCTGTTTTACTTTGTAGATTGACTTTTAAAATAATTCACCTTGTTCTCCTCGCTGTATGGCTGCACTCACTCACTCACTCTTATATTCCGAGACATTGAAAGCAACCACAGTTTGTTACCCCAGCATTGTGTACTGATACGATCTCTCCGAAGTCCAAACATGGATACTGGTCAGTTGTTGAGGTTAGCACTGGTTAAACAATAGATGCGTGTCAGGCTCTCCTCCCGCATCAGCTACTCAGACGTGTAATAGAGGAGAAAGTTTACCAGACAATTTATTCTCCTCAGATCGCCATTTGTTTTGCTGTGAAAACTCCCGAAGTCAGTGAGTGAGTTAACTTATGCCGACACGTCCCTAAAGTATGTGAAGAATGTCTTTCTACAGGGCCTGTAAATCTCGCGAGGCGCGACTTCCGGTATTAAGCTGCTTCCCGGCTCCCTTGGGGTGCGTCAACTTCCGACATGCGAGGCGGGATTCAGCTTACGCCCGGTATCAGTTTTCCGGTGACAAGCGTATATTCAAGAAGCAGTTCCAAATTCCAAATTTGACCGCAAAAATGACTTTACTCAGTGTACAACCATGCGTGGCTGTCACAGCTTTTGAGAGTTGTAATAATTAGCTGATTTCGGGATGGTTAGATCGGAAATGTGACATTCCTGCAAGGATGATCGATTCCTTATTGTCAGTTGACAACCATGAGACCATTCGAAAAGGGATGAAATGGTGTTTGAACCCGGAAGTACTAAGGTCTCGCAAAGTGACGGGACCAACCTGATGGATTCTGGTTTTGAATCCTGGTTCAACCTGACCATCAATAGTGGTACCCGTCAAAGACCTGCATTACTTCGTGCTTTGCTGCCACATTAAGCTGCTATGTCGGGATGCAACTGAGAAGGTATGAAACGTTGTTTTTCACCTGAAGTACTAAACAACGTCAGGTCTCGCGAAGTCCCATAAGCTACTTACGGGCCTTATATTATTAGTAAATAAAAGAACGATACACTGTGCCTCGAAACAAGCATCAGTTTTGCTTGACATAATGTCCAAACTGTCTTTCATTTCAGTTATCCTGGACTGAATATGCACCTGACTGTGATTGTACTTTACCTGATCATGAACATACATTTGGCACACGGTAAGTCTCCATATCTCCATGTCTTGAATCTGTCAGAACTTTCAGTGTAGGTCTCCACAATACCAAACCATAACATGAGGCAATGTTATATTTAGATGTACTCAACTTCTACAGATGGGTCATGGTTGGACACAGAACACCCGGTCACTATCTGCCCATTCATAGAAGCGTCGGGGTAGCCTAGAGGATAGTGTTCGCTCCTAGCGCCGAAGACCCGGGTTCGATTCCCCACATGGGTACAAGTTGTGAAGGCTATTTCTGTTGTCACCTGCCGTAATATTGCATGAATATTGCTAAAAGCGGCGTAAAACTGAACTCACTCACTCACTGATGGTTGGTTCATAAAAAAACACAGTCTCCAAATATAGGGGGCAAAAAACATTACAATTGCGAACGCTTTTGATATATTTCATCACAATAACAGTTCTAGTACTAGAATGCTAAGACATCCCATAATATGGGTAATATTGGAAAGTTGAGCTGTTGGTATGTGCAAGACTGTCGTTTCAATTTTACACACACAAGACAAAACCCAAATGAAATTAATAAGTAATATTGTAATATACTGAGGGAAACAAATAAGGAAACACAACTTATTGGAACTGTTCCTTTAGTTATTCTCATATTTCCTCCCACAGCCCTATTCAAAGCTGGTGATGAAAACTGGAAAATATTAAAGGAACGCTTGAATTTTCTCGTGTTCCTGTATTTGTGTCTCTCAGAACATGTTTAGAACGTCAACGGGGACAGCACTAACGGGGTCGCTCGCCGACTTGGTTGACACATGTGATCGTATCCCAATTGCGAAGATCGACGATCATACTGTTGATCACTGGGACCGCCTCCGTGGTGTAGTGGTTAGAGCGTCCTCCCGGAGAGAGGAAGGTCGCGGGTTCGATCCCCGACCGCGTCATACCAAAAGACGTTAAAATGTGGTACTTGTTGGTCCCTGCCTGGCGCTCGGCATTAATGGGTACAACAAGGACTGGTCGGCTCGGAGTCAGTATAATGTGTCTGAGTGGGGTATTCATGCTTCACTGCGGCATGGCATCTCAGTGGGCTAACACTATAAAACCAGCTTCAGTCTGGGCTAGTACAACCAGCCGCACATACACATACACACATGCACGTCGTCATATGAGCGAAATATTCTCAAGCACGACGTTAAACCCAATTTCAACTCATCTCACTGTTGAACACCGGATTGTCTGGTCCAGACTCCATTAGTTCCCGACGCCGGTATATAGCTAGAACACTTCTGAGTGGCGTTAAACAACAAACATTGTTATTTGAGTATACTTCTACAGGTACGTCCGATCTCACCTGCCCAGATCGGATTGAAGTAGGTTCTGAAGCCGCCATCACTTGTGTTGCACCTGACACAACAGACAAGCATGGCTACTCTACGCCAAACAGGGAAGTTGCTGCTATCTGTGAGTTAAAAGCCTCATCATGTCAACCCCTCGGCCACTACACAGCAGCAGTTGTCAATGACACCTGTAGCGTTCTGACCATCCCTAGTGTGAGAATATCTGATGCTGGAGAATGGCGATGTACAATCCCACCGTCGCCCATGTTGATTTGTCACATGGTCGTCTACAGTAAGTACACGCCTGACGCCTAATTCTTTTAACAAGTCACAATCGCCAGCGGCTGAAGGCATGTTGTAAATCCAGCTGGGGTCCATGCAGTTTGCAGAAACACTGTAAGTCCCTTTGGACCCTAGCGTGGTAATCTACCTTCAGTTCTGGTAATCTATAGCCCATTTTTACTATGTGCTGTTGTTTATTATATTCCCTTATTATTTGTTTATTGTTATCAAAGTATTGTAAAATATGTGTCCTACTGAGAGGATACGGAAGTCCCGAATCACTGAAGTAAATTTGGAGCTACCATTAAAATATTTTGTCTTTAATAGCATGACACGTGTCATTTTAATTTATGGCTAAAATTGCCTCCAGTTGTTAGCATCTGAGGGGATTGTGTAAATCCAGCTCGGGCCCATGCAGGTAGCAAGTACTGTAAGTCCCCATGGTCCCTGGTATGGTGATCTACCTTCAGTTGTTAGCATCTGAGGGGATTGTGTAAATCCAACTTGGGCCCATGCAGGTAGCAAGTACTGTAAGTCCCCATGGTCCCTAATATGGTGATCTACCTTCAGTTGTTAGCATCTGAGGGGATTGAGTAAATCCAGCTTGGGCCCATGCAGGTAGCAAGTACTGTAAGTCCCCATGGTCCCTAATATGGTGATCTACCTTCAGTTGTTAGCATCTGAGGGGATTGAGTAAATCCAGCTTGGGCCCATGCAGGTAGCAGTACTGTAAGTCCCCATGGTCCCTGGTATGGTGATCTACCTTCAGTTGTTGGCGATCTATATATATAGTACTGTAAGGCCCCATGGTCCCTAGTATTGTGATCTACCTTCAGTTGTTGGCGATCTATATATATAGTACTGTAAGGCCCCATGGTCCCTAGTATATGCGATCTACCTTCAGTTGTTGGCGATCTATATATATAGTACTGTAAGGCCCCATGGTCCCTAGTATTGTGATCTACCTTCAGTTGTTGGCGATCTATATATATATATAGTACTGTAAGTCCCCATGGTCCCTAGTATGGTGATATACCTTCAGTTGTTGGCGATCTATATATATAGTACTGTAAGTCCCCATGGTCCCTAGTATGGTGATCTACCCTCAGTTGTTGGAGATCTATATATATAGTACTGTAAGTCCCCATGGTCCCTAGTATGGTGATCTACCCTCAGTTGTTGGCGATCTATATATATAGTACTGTAAGGCCCCATGGTCCCTAGTATGGTGATCTACCCTCAGTTGTTGGCGATCTATATATATAGCACTGTAAGTCCCCATGGTCCCTAGTATGGTGATCTACCTTCAGTTGTTGGCGATCTATATATATAGTACTGTAAGTCCCCATGGTCCCTAGTATGGTGATCTACCCTCAGTTGTTGGCGATCTATATATATAGTACTGTAAGGCCCCATGGTCCCTAGTATGGTGATCAACCTTCAGTTGTTGGCGATCTATATATATAGTACTGTAAGGCCCCATGGTCCCTAGTATAGTGATCTACCCTCAGTTGTTGGCGATCTATATATATAGCACTGTAAGTCCCCATGGTCCCTAGTATGGTGATCTACCTTCAGTTGTTGGCGATCTATATATATAGTACTGTAAGTCCCCATGGTCCCTAGTATGGTGATCTACCCTCAGTTGTTGGCGATCTATATATATAGTACTGTAAGGCCCCATGGTCCCTAGTATGGTGATCAACCTTCAGTTGTTGGCGATCTATATATATAGTACTGTAAGGCCCCATGGTCCCTGGTATGGTGATCTACCTTCAGTTGTTGGCGATCTATATATATAGTACTGTAAGGCCCCATGGTCCCTGGTATGGTGATCTACCTTTAGTTGCTGGCGATTTGTGGCTGGTTTTATTATGTGCTGTGTATAGAAGTATTTTTTTGGGTAAGTGCTAGCTTTATATGTAAATCTGTGATATTCTAGTTTTCTATCCTTTGTTGACAGACATATAGATCGTTGAAGTTATTTTTTTTATGAATACAAAGCTTTCATAGTCACGATGTAACGGAAATACTGCCGATGTGACTTTAAATTATAACTCATTCACTCACTCACTCACTGAAATATTGCCGATGCGTGTTTGATTTATAACTCACTCACTCACTTTGAAGATATAGTCCCGCTGTTCACGTGTATTTACAGAAACCCCGTCATGTACCATGATCACTGATGAAGAGACCAAGACAATATCTGTGGCGCTGACAGGGTTCTACTGCTCAGAGAGTCTGCAGTTTAGTATTGTGACATTGTGTGAATTATTTGCCGGAACCGTCAAAGACATTACAGACGGACACTATAACTGTACAAATATGACCCAAGTCAGGGCAGACCACGCCGACGTGACGTTCACATGCGGTAATGTTGAAAGAAGCTTGGAGTGTGAGAAAGTTCTTTGTGAGTTGTTACAATATTTCTCTTTTGTGGAAAATGGGATGGACTTTAGATCTTGAACATCTTTTTATGCTTCACTTTTCCTTTTTTTCGTTTTCCTTAAATGCATGAATTTTCCTGGGAACCGTGGAGATCCTGGTTAGAACTGGCCATCAGTAACCCATGCATGTGATAAGAGATGACCAACAGGATCGGGTGGTTAGACTCGCTGACGTAGTCGACTCATCTCATCGTATTCCAATTGCGTTGATCGATGTTATTAATCACTGGATTGTCTGAACCAGACTCGAATAATTACAGACCGCTGTGATATAGTCTGAATATTGCTGAGTGCGGCGTTGAACAACAAACCAACCAACCAAATTATTTTCTTGGGATATTTGTTTCTGGTGTGGACAAGTTTTTGTCATTTTTATCACACCGAAACATCTGCATAGCATTTTGAAAAAATGAATTTCATAAATTAATTACTTCACGTGGTGCTATGTCATTTGTTGCTGTTTTTTCTGTTTTATTCACATCTTCATGTAATATTATCCAAAGGGTGACGTTGGTTTCATTTGACATCTTCTCTTTTGTGCAGGAACTCTTCCTTAATCTCGGTGGAGGTATGCCAGTTATAACTATGTACGTTATTCTGCTCCCGGTGCACGGTGTGCCAAGGTGATTTCTTGACATATTTGGCACACATATGTATGTGTCCCTGTACAAAAAAGAAAATTCACGTTATCGTGCCTTTAGAGAAAGCGACTTTGAGGCGATTAGTTTAAATCCTAAATGTTAACTTCTTTAATGCAATGTTGTTCATAGTGAACACGTGAGTCGGTGTTAATTTATTGCTTCTTATTTTGAAAACTTTTCGGACATCTTCATAGTGTAATATGTTTTGTCCTTGTAACAAAGTCGTGCCAGGTAGGACCCCTTCTGACGCTTACTTGATAGATGATGTACGTATTGCATTATTTCAAACATCTTAATTATCTTCACAGACACAACATCCACAATGTATCCTCTGCAGACAACCTCTTCTGGCATTGCCACAGTTATGCCTTACAAAACGGATCCTGCAGGCATCGTGCTTCCTGTCATTCTTTGTATCATAGTCCTAGTCCTAGTGATCGCTTTCATTGTCTTGTATAAGACAAGGCCAGGTTTATTCAGGCCAAGGAAGCATCCAACACAAGTTTCTGCTGATTCTTCATATGTGGGGGTAGGTCAGAAGGATCTTGTGTCACTTTAGACTACATTGCTTGGTTATTTTGAGTGAGGCTCTCCTACATATTAACTCATTCGTAACTACTCGCTTCTTTCCGTGACCTACAAAAAGACTCGTACCTGCTTAGTGAATGTGAATGAGGTCAAATAGTTTCTTTGCGATTACCGATTTTCATGATTATTTCCATGATTCTACAATTATCTTGTTGCTGGTATTTGTTAACGACATAATAATCTTACTTAAAGTGACTTCCGTGTTGTATCATTTATTTCTGGGAGTAGCCATGTTTTGAAATTCAGAGTTATCTTTCCTTGGAAATAGTCCTAGACTATTTTCATCTCCGTGCCCGTTAGCAAAGCCCAGTCATGAACATGGCCAGGAGAGGGCCTCGATTCGTCATCCGGCTTGCCGGAATGACACGAGTAGTTACGAATGATATTAACTTGGCAGTTACCTTGGCCTTATGGTTGTCCCGAACTTGCCACCTTAGTTACCCTCTCGTTGGTAAGAGAAACCGTCCCGTTAGGCAGAAAACGGAACTCTGTTAAACAAGAACATGCGTTGTAGTTGACATCTGCAGGGAATTAATAGCTGGTGACGCATTTTACTCCTGGGGTCCTATTGTGCTCGGACGACCTCATTATTGTCACTAATGACAGTAATCTCACGTCGCCAACAGTGGATGAGCCAATTATACAACAACAATACATATACTATAAGTATGATGAGATTACTCTCTGAGTCTCGTCAACAGTAGGTATAATGAACGAAACAATTATACAACAACAATACTATAAATAACAATGTCACTGTCCTCTGAGGAGAGTAATCTCACGTCGCCAGCAGTGGGTATAATGAACGAGACAACTATACAACAACAATACATGTACTATAATTAATAATGTCACTGTCCACTGAGAAGAGTAATCTCACGTCGCCATAGGTGGGTATAATGAACGAAACAATTATACAACAACAATACATGTACTATAATTAATAATGTCACTGTCCTCTGAGGAGAGTAATCTCACGTCGCCAGCAGTGGGTATAATGAACGAGACAACTATACAACAACAATACATGTACTATAATTAATAATGTCACTGTCCACTGAGAAGAGTAATCTCACGTCGCCATAGGTGGGTATAATGAACGAAACAATTATACAACAACAATACATGTACTATAATTAATAATGTCACTGTCCTCTGAGGAGAGTAATCTCACGTCGCCAGCAGTGGGTATAATGAACGAGACAACTATACAACAACAATACATGTACTATAATTAATAATGTCACTGTCCACTGAGAAGAGTAATCTCACGTCGCCATAGGTGGGTATAATGAACGAAACAATTATACAACAACATTACATGTACTATAATTAATAATGTCACTGTCCTCTCTGAGGAGAGTAATCTCACGTCGCCAGCTGTGGGTATAATGAACGAAACAATTATACAACAACAATACATGTACTATAATTAATAATGTCACTGTCCACTGGGGAGAGTAATCTTACGTTGCCAGCAGCGGGTATAATGAACGAGACAATTATACAACAACAATACTATAAGCAATAATGTCACTGTCCACTGGGGAGAGTAATCTTACGTCGCCAGCAGTGGGTATAATGAACGAAACAAATATACAACAACAATACTATAAGTAATAATGTCACTGTCCACTGGGGAGAGTAATCTCACGTCGCCAGCAGTGGGTATAATGAACGAGACAATTATACAACAACAATACATGTACTATAAGTAATAATGTCACTGTCCACTGAGGAGAGTAACCTCACGTGGCCATCAGTGGGTATAATGAACGAAACAAATATACAACAACAATACTATAAGTAATAATGTCACTGTCCACTGGGGAGAGTAATCTCACGTCGCCAGCAGTGGGTATAATGAACGAGACAATTATACAACAACAATACATGTACTATAATTAATAATGTCACTGTCCACTGAGAAGAGTAATCTCACGTCGCCATAGGTGGGTATAATGAACGAAACAATTATACAACAACATTACATGTACTATAATTAATAATGTCACTGTCCTCTGAGGAGAGTAATCTCACGTCGCCAGCTGTGGGTATAATAAACGAAACAATTATACAACAACAATACATGTACTATAATTAATAATGTCACTGTCCACTGGGGAGAGTAATCTTACGTTGCCAGCAGCGGGTATAATGAACGAGACAATTATACAACAACAATACTATAAGCAATAATGTCACTGTCCACTGGGGAGAGTAATCTTACGTCGCCAGCAGTGGGTATAATGAACGAAACAAATATACAACAACAATACTATAAGTAATAATGTCACTGTCCACTGGGGAGAGTAATCTCACGTCGCCAGCAGTGGGTATAATGAACGAGACAATTATACAACAACAATACATGTACTATAAGTAATATTGTCACTGTCCACTGAGGAGAGTAACCTCACGTGGCCATCAGTGGGTATAATGAACGAAACAAATATACAACAACAATACTATAAGTAATAATGTCACTGTCCACTGGGGAGAGTAATCTCACGTCGCCAGCAGTGGGTATAATGAACGAGACAATTATACAATAACAATACATGCACTATAAGTAATAATGTCCCTGTCCACTGGGGAGAGTAATCTCACGTCGCCAGCAGTGGGTATAATGAACGAAACAATTATACAACAACAATACTAGTGATCCAGTGATCTACATCATGAGCATCGATCAAGGCCTCTGAGATACGATGACATGTGTCAACGTGCTGCCTGTCCCAGAATCACTATGTCCACCATGTTTGAAAACAATATATCTGGTTCGACAAACAGCGACACATTATGTCTTTGCAATAAGATGGAAATGTAATCATTGGTTGAGGTTATATGTATGTATGTGTGTGTGTGTGTGTGTGTGTGCGTGCGTGCGTACGTGCGCGCGCGCCCGCGCGTGTGTATGTTTTAGTTACTAGTATATATTTCATATACCCCAACTTGGAGAATCTGCAACGTTTCCCATTTGTAGCAGATGTCTATGTATTTACTGTCCATCTAAACTATCTAAATGTTTGTTTTTTGTTACCGTGTAAAGTATAAAAGCGGAGTGCGGGTGATGTTACTTTAAGCTTTAACCATCTCTTCCAATGTCACGTTCAGTCTTCCATACGTTATACGTAGCTATATTAGTTCAGGACAAAACTATGCTTCAGTACATTAAGCATGCTTCATATCTTAAATCATGCCAGTCAGATGCAAAAAACTCCGTACCTGGATTTTATTATTCTGCAATATTTTATCCATAATTAGTCACTCGCTTGTAATGAGAGGGAAGAGTAGGGTCACTGAGGTCGAGAACAGATTCTCGGGAGCCGTGTTTGTTTATTTGTGTTTGTTTATTTGTTTGGTTGGTAAGTGAGTTTTACGCCACTTTTAACAATATTCAACAATATCACGGCGGGGAACCAGAAATCGGTTTCACACAAGTATAAATCATGTGGGGAATCGAACCCGGATCCGCGGCGTGACGAGCGAACTCTTTAACCACTAGTGTTTGCTGGCTGATTGGCAGGATTTTCAACACCGGATTCAGCGATATACGAAGTACAGACCGGCAGTCTCTCGATAAACCACCAGTGCTTGCTACCTTTGACGTTGAAATCGAACTCACTTGGATAATTCAACTAATATTATCACAACAATTTATGTTTGTCAAAATATTTTGAGAAACCTACAAGCGTTATTTCCCGTACCGCGGCGGAGGTAGAAAAGATGAGCAAGAAAATAGTTCCGGAAAAAATGGAATTTGTTACCTATTACATCTGGAGGGAAATAATGACTCTACACGTCTTTGGCCTAAGGGGTCGGTGGGGTAGCTTAGTTGTTATAGCGTTCGCTCGTCACGCCGAAGGCCCGGATTCAATTCCTCACATGGGCAGAATGAGTGAAGCCCAGTTCTGCTGTCCCCCCGCCGTGATATTTAGAAGATACAAATACTTTGTTGGAAACTCAGAGGTATATAACGAAATTAGATTAGCTCTAAATTTGATTTAAAACCAGACGCGTAGCGTGGGGTTTTAAATAAAAACAAACAGAGATATTATAATTTCAGAGAGACAAATCAGAGGTATATAACGTGATGATTATACACCTCTGAATGACTTTTATTAACCAACCACAATCAGGTATTTACTGATGTCATGGCAGAATGCTGAAATATTGCTAAAAGCGGCGTAAAACTAAACTCACTCACTCATCCTTCGGCCTCACGAGAATCAGCCTTCGGGCTAATAACATCCAGGGGCGTACATATAGGGAAACAGTAGTGTTAGTCACTTGTGTCTGCATAACATCCACATCTGGGTCCAAATCAATAAATTCATACAACAACCTGTTGCATGTTGTCGTGTTTGCTGAACAACCGGTTCGCTGAGCATGGTTCATAGTGTGCATAAGGTTGCACAGCATCACGCCCCGCTAGTCTCTTGTGTATAGGTCAAACAGGGGCAGTGCGGCCAGCTTCAGGAGGTACAATACCTATTAACGTCTCTTTTAGCAGACTGGATCCGTGAAGATCCCGTGAGTGGCTGATGAAAGATATTTGAAAATGGAGTGCGCTGCCCTTGTCGTCCACGTTGTGGTAGGAAGTTTAAGATCCGTGATGAGCCTGGCCCAACTGATGTTGTTAGGCATGACATAGATGTAGGTGATGCTGTGCCTCTAAAACAACATCTGTATCGAATAAATTTAGTGAAACATGAAATTCTGCGGACAGTCCGTGGAGTTTGACCCGTGAAGACCCTGGTTTAAATTGAGTGACCCATGCTTGTCGTAAGAGGCGACAAATGGGATCGGGTGGTCAGGCTCGCTGACTTGGTTGCTGAGATACTTGAAAATGGAGTGCACTGCCCTTGTTGTCCTTGTTGTCCTTGTTGTGGGAAGAAGTTGAGGATCCGTGAACATACGGGTTAGAATTGGTCTTCAGTAACCCATGCTTGGCAAGGGGTGACTAACGGGATCGGGTGGTCAGACTCGCTGACTTAGTTGACACTTGTCCTCGTATCCTAACTGCGTAGATCGACGCTCATGCTGTTGATCACTGGATTGTCTTGTCCTGACTCCATTATTTCCAGACGCCGCCATATGGCTGGAATATAGTTTGGTTCGGTGTTAAACAACAAACGTACCTACCTATCTACCTACGCTGTCAATAGTTACCTTCAGTTTGCCACTTCCCC